TGAGGTATAGCCTAATAAGAATATGGCATCACTTTTTAAATTTCTTTGTCAGTTTTCCCACAGAAGAAGCATAACTGTCTTAAATTAAAAGAATTTATTACCTGGCTACATCTGTGTGAAGTGTGTTCTCTGAATGTGCCTTTGATAAGGTTTCTTTTCTTAAATAAAAAACTGGCAAGCTACTCTGTGCCTTGTAGTCCGGTGGTTTTGACCCATCCTGACTAAGTTGAATGAATTGATACTTCCTTTCTCATCCGTGTTTTGTGTAAACAAAGACTGACCTAGTTTAGGCATTAAAATGCTTCTGGCTTTGAATCCCAAGTGGAAAAGGGGGCTTTTGAGTTTATGGCCTGGTAAAAAGGGGATTTCTGCTGCCTCTTGCCTTAAGGAGTTCATGTCTCTATGCTCTTTTGTCCCTTCTCCCTGTTGCCTTGACATGATATGCTGTGTGTCCATGCTGTGACCTGGGGAGAGAAACCCCTGAAGCTATTGGGGCCAACAAAGATTTTTTTATTGACAAATTGTGATTCAGATGGTGTTGTGAAGAAATGAGTTTTTTATCATTCTGCTGCTTTGCCTCTCAGTTTCTGCTTTTCCCTGTTTCCTGCTCATGATTTCTTTTGAGATTTATTAGATTTGAACAATTTCAACGAATGGGTAAGAACTTCAAAGATATTACTATTCTGCAAGTACTGAATATGGGCAGGTGACTGTGAGACTATGCAGCAGGAAATCCACTTCAGTATGAGGCAGCAGAGAATCTGGCAGCTGGAGAACTGATGAAGAGAAGTATACTATTACTATTTGAACAACTAGAAAAGCTTCAATTGAAACTCATCATCTTGTGTGCTACAGAATGCACTTCTGAAACGAAGCCACAGGGAACCAGGCTTAGTAATTTTAGTGCTAGTGAAGCTATGTGATCTCTATTATGTCCTCTGCTGTCAAATGCTTCCAGTAAAAAAAAAAAAGTAATAATAATATGGTAGATACAGTCATTTGAGGCTCTAGATGCCACTAGGTGGCAGAACCCCTGCATCTATTATGTGAATTTCTTTCTGTGCCTTCATCTCACGTAGCAGGCATATGGAAACACTGAAAATACTATTCCAAAGACAGCTGTGGAGCATGCATTAAGAACAGCACTATTAGAGACAAGAGTGTATATCTGTCCTGTTGATGAGACAATGGACATGATTTTCTGAAGATATTGAAGAGATGTTCCCCTTTGTGGTAGAGGTTCTGCATGGGGTCTTGATGGGATTTTGTTTAGAGAAAGAGAAGAACTGGAAATGGACCATGAGAGAAACTATCTTGTGTAACTCATCAGCCTTGGGTTATTGTAGACCTTATTTTGAAATATGTGTGAAACACTGTTTGATATCTGCCTATGAGATTGGGGGACACTCTTGATAAGAGGCTTGACTTTAAAACGCTGTTTTGTCCTGATGTATGAGGTCATACTGAGGCTGTATGAGTGCAGTGAGCTTTATTTAGAAATTCCTGAAATGATAATGGTGATCCTTTTAGACTTCTTGAAACAAGATGCAGAGAAGACTGGCAGTGCTTGTTTGAATGTCCAGATTGTGACTATGGTTTGAATGAATTTTCTGCTGACTTCTGCGTGAAGAAATATAATTTTATCCTTGCAGTTCATTTTTTGTTTTATGGTAGATATAATTGCTGGCTGGGATTGCAAATGTTTTAATTCTCCAGTGTAGCTTGATGTGGGATATCGTTTTTCTGCTGATTTGTGAGAGTGTCTGGGGAGTGATGCATTGCTCTGGTGTGTCTTGTGCCCCTTAGGGACCTCAGCAACCTTGGGCTGTTGGTTTCAGAGGGCTTCTGTGACTCTGCCTGGCCAAGAAGCTAGGCAGTAAGGTTCTCTGGAGATGTCACACTGTGTTAAGTGAATTAGATTTGGACTGTGCAGCCAGTGGTTCTTACCAGCTCCAGCATGATCCTTTTTAGCACGTGGATTAAGTCTATCATCTCTGCAGTCCCTGGCTTCCATCAGTGTTGAGCCTGTGGATTCATTTGCACTGGAAAAGGTAAGTCCCTTAAAAGGGAATTTTCTTTGGAATAAAACCACCCCATCAAACCCAGCATCGCTTTCAGGTAGTTTTTGAAGAGGCAATTGTAAGAGTTAGTGCTGTGTGTTTAGCCCTTTATTACTAATGCTGCGCATGCCAAATGACCATAACTTGGAGCATAGTTCTTGTGTTTCTGAGTGTAACTTTTTGAGTCTGTCAAAGTTCTGCTGGATCCAAGGGGATCACAGAGTGCTCAAGAGCAGTTCTGTGGCTCTTCCTTGTGTGGTCCTGTTTGGACAGGGTGGGACACAAATTACAGGCTGCAGTTGCTGGCACTGAGCATCTGCAGAAGCTACTGAAGGATGTGCTCACTCATCTCACTCTGCAGTAGTGGGGCTGCTGCTGATCCAAAGAACTATGCAAGAACAAATGCACTGAGCAGGAGCCATGCCTTCCAAATGTTTTGAGGCATTCTTCTTGTGTGTGCGAAGGTGCGGACCTCTTTTCCAGAAGATTATGGTAGAATTACCATCTTTCAAGTGCAATGAGTGGTTATTGCCTTCACTGCCCTGTTAAGACTTAGCAAAAGGAATGTTAAGCATGCAAATGTTTGATCTGTGGAAAACATTAGTATCTCTCAGGTACAGTCAGGCAGTCAGGTCATACAACTTTCTCTCTCTTGTTTAGAAGTTCATTAATGGATTGTGGTTTTTAATGTCCAAAAATAATGATGTGGTTGAGACTTCCACTGTCTGTGGCATAAGAGGATATCTAGATATTTACAATTCTTACTGTTCCACAGTGAGCATTGTGCAGCAGTGGAAGGAGCAATGACCATTGTCTGAATCAATTCACCTGCCCCCACCACATGTCTTGACCACATAGGAATTCAAATGCATTTCAGTTTTTTATTTTTAATCTATAGAACTATAAATAGCAGTTAAACAGACAGAAAAGCAATAAGAAAACAGTAGTAGAACAAGAATTTAAAAACTGGAGAAGCTTAAGTTAAAAACTTTCCTGACTTGCTTTTTAGACGATAATGAGAAATTTTCAGTTTCTGATCCATTTGAAGCATCTATGCAGAGGATACTGAAATTGTCTTGCCATATTTCCTTTCCTGTTTTGCTTGGAAAACAGGTGCTGAATCATACATGAGCATTCACTGAAATATAGTACTGGGGCCCTGTTGTTTTCACCACTGAAACTTCTGATGTAGCAAATAGGAGTTCTTGTAATCCCTGTTACATCGTAGGTAGCTTGACCTGGAAACTTCCTCTTGTTAAATAAACAAACATGGTGGTAACTGACTCTCTCCTACTTTTCTGGCTTATTTTGCTCTTACAGTTTTCTAACTGTAGTCACTTTCCTTTTTAGATGCTAACATTTGTGTTGACTTTTTCTCACCTAGTTGAGGGAGCTTTATATTCTTGCATTTCGCTTAATTTACTTCTAGGATTAACATTTTAGGGAGAAGTTTATTGTTTTTGATAATAAAATCCTTTCTCTTCTAGTCAAGACATCTGCTTTGTTCTGTGCTGTTGTGCTGTATTCCCCAGAAACCATGAAATGTTCCCATTTCAATATTATGCTAAAATTGCTCCTTGCTAATTGCATGTGAAAGTACAGGATAAGTTTTTATCACTGTTTCTATGTTTTCATAGTCAAGGGAGAAAAAATCTGAAGTTTGTTTTAGTAATGAAAGTTTTTAAAATTATATGTAACTAAAAGAAAAACCCCAAAACAATAAAAAAATTCTGAAACATCAAAAAAAATCCCAATATTTAGACAAGGTAGGAGAAGTGACAACCACTGTCTTTTTCTTTCACTGCCTTCCCTATAAAGAGGAGGTAGAATCTAAACTGCCTTAATTTTCAGTCTTTTGCTCTTGCATAGTCATGTTTAGATTCTCTAGTATTGTGCAGCCTGCCTGTGTGCCAGTTAGACTTAAAAAAAAAGTCAACTTCTTTATTTTCCCCAAGTTGCAGGTTATATAAGAAGCGGGTTACTTTTCCTAGGTCAGCAGACATATAACAAATACCATGAAAGCCAAGTGCTTGGAGAGCTTCCTAACATTTAAGTGTGGTGGAAATGTCTTTAGTTGCAGTCTTTAGCTCAGACAAAACCTCATTCTCATGCTTTGACAGCATGCTTGTCCTTTTAGCATGAAGATGAGTAACATGAATGGCAGTACTCAATATTGACCCCTTGCTTGTTGTTTTTAATTCTTGTGTGAAGCATTTCTTCAATAAGATTTCTTTTTGGATGTTGGAAATAACTTTATTCATAATTGTGACAGACTGCAGAGTCCTTTAGCTTTTCTAGTCACTTTTGGAAGATAAAATATTTGATGTGAATATTAAATAAATCTCAATTTTTCTCTCTTTGGTAGTTCCCTGTGGGATCTCAGCACCTCAGGACTGAGGTGCCGAGCCACCGAGACCACCCCTGGGGGGGCTCGGGAGTCCTGGAATGTTGCCAGAAGTGTCTGGTGGCTGGACTTTGATCCTACACAGGAGATGACACCTGTATGAGGATAGGAGGATTTCACCGGGGTGAATGGTGAAGGGATTAGTTAGTTAGAGGGTGAGACACAGGGTTTAGGATTTCTGTACAGGGGGATTTAGAGAAGTAAGATGGAGGAATTGGGGCGTGTCCTGTCCTCCTTCTTCTTCTTCTTCTCCTCCATCTTCTGTGGTGATGGTGGCACTTTGGGATTGGTCATTACTAAAAGTGCACCGGACAATAAGGGGGAAAGGTATTGGGGAAAAATGATAAATATTGTACACGCAACTTTGGGTATAAAGATAGGTGACTGTCCGGAGGGCAGGACAGTGTGCTCATGGCTGGCTGCTGAGCAGACCTCTGTCAGGCCGAAAGAAAATCTTTTAGATAAACAATTAATAAACATAGAGACCGAAAGAAGAACTGAAGCCTCTTCTCGTTCTTTGATACGCGGGCTGCCCCAAGGCCACTCCGGGCCTTTCCAGGCCCTCCAAACAGCCGAAAACCGGACAGTTCCCCTCTTCCTTTCTTCCCCACTTTGTGAACAAACCTTTACCAGCTGTAGTCTTCACCTTTAGTATCTCCATCACTGTTGGAATTCTTTTTATTCTGATGTGTTTATACAGATATAATAATTTTCTGTAATTCCACATTTATAACATTCCTATTACAATGTGCTCCCATTAGTTCTTAGTTCCCACTATTGATGCTGTTTTATTTAATATTGGGAGTTTTCTAATTGTTTTCTGTTATAACACAGCAATTATTTTATTTCCTGAAAAGAATCCTGTTTGCCATATGTATTTGTGTATATAATATGTGTGATTTCAGATTATCTGTTCTTATATTCTTGTCAACTGATATATTGCTGTCTGAATTCTCAAATGTTAATTTTAAGAGGTATCTTTTAAATAGTATCTAAAATCTTAGTTAAAAAAATAAAAGGACTGTCTGTCCCTGTAAGATTTGAAAAGCAACACCGAAGTATTTTTGGAATAACAGACTATTGTACTCAGCTTCATTCCTGTCTCTGCATTGTCTGCCTGTTGCCTTTTACTTTCAAAGCTGCTGGTACAGGTAAACACTTCAAAGATTGAGGAAGAGGATTCACTTGAGCTCCCCTCAAAGCACTTTAGAGAGGAAGTACAACTGACTCATCAATGAAATTGTCTATACAGCAAATGCTGGTAAGTGTACTAAATGAGCTGCAAAAACATTGTCTATGATCTTTTAATTTTAGCAGTCCTGTAATAGGACTACTGTTTAGATGAAAATGTATGTTTGCTTTTCAAGTTGAATGATGCTAAGTTAATAATTCTGTCTTTAATACATCTCTCATCTTGGATCTAGAGTTGTCCATTTCTTTCAGACAATACAAGTTACTTTCTCTAGTCCGCTGCCTGTCTTGACTGGCTTTTTTCCTTAGGCTGTATTCTCCTGTTTCTTTCACAGGAAGAGAATCCATGGAAGCATGTATGAGAATGCCTTAGATCTGCACTTAAGTCTTGCTGGTTATTTGCTAACTATGTTGAGTGTTTGTTACACTCAAACCATTTTGAATCCTCCTGTAATCAGATTTATTTTGTCTCTCTAAGATATGGGGGGATACAAGATCTGATAATAGGTAGGTGAATGTTATCTGATTAAATTGTAATTGCTCTTGTCCACATGCTTAGCTTACTGCAAATGCAAACTCAAATTTATAGACTTAGTTGGAATTTGCAGTTGGGACAGAGTGAGCACTGTGTCATTTCTTGTAACCAATTAGCTGATAAGTGCTGTCATTGTAAGATAAGGTAATGTTGACGTGATTTATAAAGCATAATTTGTGTTCATGATGTCACTGGAAGTGGAAATTTAAAATTTGACCATTATTATCAATTCTTAATTTCTATTCTCATTGTGTATGCTTTATGCACTACTGCTGCTCTACATTAAGCTTTTGTTTTGTAAGCCCAAGAGAGCCCTTCAGTAACAGAACAGATTTTTGTTACTTATTTTAGAGAAACTTTCATTGTGGCAATTTTCTGGAAAAAATTACACAGGCATTTTCAGATGCTTTGGGTTTTGTTAGCTCTGAATTGATCCTCCCTACCCTCCTTACCCCTCCCCCACCAAAGTTCCGAATACACTTTTTAATTGGTTAATGCTGTTAACTCTAGACACCTTCAGGTGCATAGTTCAGAGTAGCTTCAGCTGTTAGATGTTTGCCATTGACTGAAAAATTTTGTGGAAGTTATGCTTAGACCACTGTTGATTTTATCCCAGTGAGACCTAGAACTTTTGTGCACTTTTATTTTTTTTCTTTTTTGGGGGGAGCTGCATGTAGCAGGATTTCCATCAGAATAGGCTGGAATCCTTGTTTCCCTTCATTGTTTTCAAACATGGTTCTTAATGGCTTGAGAGACTGTATTTTAAGCAAATCTCTGCTTGTTTATCTTACAAATTCTGCTTGCATTAGCAAAAGCAAAAATACTTTCTGAAATACTAGTTGCCCCCTCTGCTGCACAGCTGTTGAAAATATTAAATAGCATTTTGCTTTTCTGGTGCTGTCATTCCTGGTAAAGCTTGTCCATGTTAGAATTACTGATGTAGTTAATAGTGAACCTTGAGAAGCAAACAGGCTTTCTGTGTCAATCTTTGTATTAAACATTCATAGAAACATCTGTTAACCCCAGTAAGGACTGAAGTAAATGCCATGCTGTCTCAAGGTAGTCTTTTGGAGCTTAAGGCTCTAAGGAGCTTCCATCACTCCAAGTTAATTTTAGCTATAAGACAGAAAAATTCAAGGGACAGAAAACTTAAGGCCATCTATTTGAATACTGAGAGACAGATGCTGATTCACAAAAGTTCACTTATGACCTGCTTTTTTCCTGAAATGCCCATCTTCGAGATGTGAAGTGATACCAGGCAAGCGTCACTGTGTGTATGTGGATTTTGTTAACCTGCAAAGGGACTGGAAGTTTAAATGGACTAGAGTAAGAAATACAAGGATGCCTTTTGATGGGAACTTTGACTAAAGACGGACAGTGGAGTGACCAAAAATTGGATGATTCAGACATAAAAACAGAAGGGAGAAAGTAAATAGATTATTAAGTTGACAGCTTAAGGTCTGAGTGAGTATCAAAGAGAAAGACTGAGATCTGATGGTAGCTGGTGTGGTGCACAGGAAGGTCTAGGAATGGAAGTAACAAAAGAAGTGTTAATAGTGTAACTGAAACACATAACTGAGTGTGTGTAAGTTATGTGCAGTTTTGAGAAGAGGAAAAGGGAGAAGGTGAAGAAGGCAGTAACTGAATAAAAGCCTAGCTCTGTGGCTAGGTGAGGATAAGACAGTCTTGAGAAGGCTGCAAGATGCTTGAGCTGCTTGAAAGTGGTTGAGAAGAACACCTGTCACTGCGAGTGGAAGAGTGTCACTCGTAAGCAGAATTGTCTCACTAGATGATGAATCACTGACAGGGAAAAGTACAGAAGATACAACTGAGCAAAGGGAAGAGTATTAGTTCTCTGGGGCAGAAAGGTCAGCTGTGGATTTGCAATTTAAGGACTCTTTGCTTTTGATTTTGACAGAAACATGACATCTAACAGAAGTGATACTGCCATCCTTGAAAGTCATTGTAGTGTTAAATACCTGTTGGAGGGCTTTTGGCAGCCTGGTGGTTTACAAATGTGTTCAGAGAGCATTTGATGAGATAGATACTGAATAGTGGCAAGGTACAGTCTGTCAGGATAAAGAACTGCACTATTGCCCACTTAAAAGCTTGTTTTTCTAGGTCAGTGGATCTATGTGAAGAAATGTTCCTTTTGTTATTGTAATTAATTTTTATATTGATGGGCAGTGTGTGAGTGGGAGTAGCACTTAAAGCAGTGTTAGAAGCATTGGTTAGGTGTTTGAAGGTGTTTTGAGCACTTCTTTGTAGAGTATATACTGGGTCAAGATTTTTGATTGCATAGTGTGGGTTAAATCTTCAGTGCCCTGGAGTATGTTTTTTTGTTTGTTTTTAAACCAGCTGGTCTTCATGCTTAAAGAGACATGTTTTACTAAGCTTTAAAGTTTTGGAGGTACTCAGCTTCTGACTTCAAACTGGGAATCTTTAGCTCCTCTTCAGTTGTCCTAGCTAATTCCATGTGCAAAGGTTCTTCATTTTCATAGGAGTTGTGTGTGTGTGTGTTGGAATGGCAGGAAGGTTGGGTACATTTCTGTGTTCCTTCTGATCTTACACAAGCTTAATGCTTGTTTTGTTCCCCATTTAATATAACTCCTAACCTTCCTTTGCCATGGTTTTTTCTGCTTGTATTTTGCTGGTAAATGTTTTACCATAATTCTGATTGAGTGTTTTTTTAAAGTGCTGTCTGAAAAATACAGAGGCCCAAATGTAAACATCCATCTCTCTTTCTGGAGAAATGAAACTATGACCTTTTCATAGAATTGACCAAATGGTTTGGGTTGGAAAGGACCTTAAAGATCATCTAATTCCAACCCCCTGCTCTGAGCAGGAACACTTTCCACCATCCAACCTGGCACTGAATAATTCCAGGGATGTACCACTTCCCTGAGCAACCTGTTCAAATGCCTCACCACTCTCACTTTAAAGTGTTTCTTATATCTAATCTAAACCTACTCTCAATTTAAAGCAATTCCCTCTTGTCCTGTCACTACATTCCCTTCTAATTTGTCCCTCTCCATGTTTCTTGTAGACACTCTTCAGGTAGGCTGCACTTAAGTCGCTCTAAAGCCTTCTCTTTTCCCGACTGAACAAACCAAATTCTCTCAACTTTTCCTTATAGTAGAGGTGTTCCATCCCTTTTGTATCCCTCCTCTGGACTCAATCCAGCAGGTCTAAGTCCTTTCTGTGCTGGCACCCCAGAGCTGTATGCAGGTTCCAGGTGGGCTCTCACCAGAGCAGAGCAGAGGGACAGAATGCCCTCCCCTCCCTGCTGCCCACACTGCTTTGATGCAGCCCAGGCCACGTTTGGCTCTCTGGGTCACGTCCAGCCTCTCACCCAGCAGCTCCCCCAGTTCTGGGCAGGGCTGCTCTCCGTCTGTTCATCCCCAGCCTGTGCTGACACTAGGGGTGCCCCAACCCAGGGGCAGCACCTTGCACTTGTTGAACCACATGAAGTTGCTGTGGGCTTGCTTTTCCAGCTGACATTTTGAGCTATCCCTGTGAGTATCCCTCCAGGAATACTCCTTGACAGTCTGTAAAGAAGAGATTCCTTCAACTCTTTCCTTCAACTCCTTGGTGTTAGGGTGTTGTTTGAGCCATGCTTACCTTGAGTGGAGTGAGCTTGACAGGTATCTCAGGCCAATAATTCTAACAGTTGTAACTTTGTTGATGTCTTGTCTTTATTTCCTACACAGGATGTTTTCTGTGGTTTAATTTATTTTATCAGATAATGCCAATTTTTCTCATTTACTATTGTTTCTCATTTCACTTCTCCTTCCTAGGTAGCTGTAGTTCCTGGATGCTTGCAACTACATATAATATGATGGACAGAGTTAAAAAATAAAAAGCTATTTTTGAGACTTTTGAGTTAGAGAGTGTTTTCTGTAAAAGACAGTAAACTGTGACAGTCCTTGAAAACTTTATATCATTTGTGGAATCAGTGCGTTATTTTCGGTTCTCAGCTCCTAAAAGATGGAATTTCAAGAACTTTATGTAGAGAAACTTTCTTGTGAAGAAAGTGAACATCAGAGGAAGGTGAACCTCAAATAGAAAGATGATCTCATTCTTGTTTTCTCTCATCATCTTATGTATCATCACATCAACCTCTTGTCTGTAGTGAAGCTTTTTATACCTCTAAGTTCCACAGAGATTGAGTTTCAAATGTGATAATACCAGTAACTCTGGCAACTGAGATGCCTGTCACTTTTACTTTAAAATAAAAGCCACCTTTTTTGATAAAACAGTTGTAATAGTTGTAAAAAGCATGTTAGAAGCATGAAACTTTATGACAACTTTGTCATGTGTCCTCATTTTAGACAGGTAAATTGTCTTAAATTAGCTCACAGAGTTCCTAAAAACAGTGTTTTGCACTAGTCAATACATTTTATATTCCTCCTCTTCAAAGACTTCTGAGAATTGATAATTTTCCCCCCTCATTACAAAGATTAGATCAATTTTTGCAGGTACTTTCCTAAATTCCAACAAAAGGAATAGGTAAGTATAACATGCCTGTCCAGGCCCTTTTTAAAAAGCTGTGTGTATACCATGCAATCAAAGAACTTACTGATACACTTGTACAGACAGAATAGTTTAATATAGGAGTGATGTATAGGGGACATATATGAGATAATCTTTGTGAGATCATTCTCTGGAGATTGCATTGGTAGAGAAGCACAAGTCCTTTCTCATCCTTTATCTTCAAAAGGCAGTAGCCAATGCAGCTAAATACCACAGACAGTTGAAGTTTTGTTGGCTAACAGCTCATGTTCTTGCCATAGCAAAACCAGTAAGTGTCTGTTACAGCAGTAAGTTCTATTCCTGTTTTACTTGCTACACTCCATTAAGCTTCAACAGTTCCCCTAGTGTTTAGATTGCACAGGTTTGGATGCCTGCCTCAAGTGTGCATTATAGCAGTCTTTCTTTTCTCTCTGATTTCGTCAGCAGAGTTTCCTATGTAAGAAATATGTGGCAGGGGAGAAAGAGATATCAACAAGCCAATGCCTCTCTCTAGCCTCCTATTGCATCAAGCAGTTACTTTCCATTTTTCTTCTTCATTATGGGTTGGTGAGGAGGTTTTTCTGGATTTTCACATGCAGTTTAGGTATCCATGATATGGAGGTGTGACTGAGATAGAAGTGCACAGGCTGGTACTTCCCTGATGACCTTGATTGACAATTCTTTTGCTTCCTGGTAGGTGGGAGCCGTAACTCTTAGTATAAGGACTCTGTTGTAGGCTGGAGGAAGAGGAAGACTGCAATAAAGAGAATAACTGGTAAGTAACAATTATCTCCCTCCCATTAAAGTCCTCCCAGTTTATGGCAATTGTTTTGGAAAAAAAAAAGTTTGATTCTGGATGAAAAAGGCCCATTCCTGAGGCTTACCAGAAAATGTTCTATATTACCTAGTGGCATATCTTAAACACTCAGAATGTCAGAGTAGCTACAAATAGTTGTTTCAAGCTTTGAGGGTGCAAAGGGCAGTCTCAATATGAAAGGCTTCAGAGTAGCAGTTATTTCCATGTGTTTCTGGATTAAAAGTGCTCAAATACAATGTTAGGAAGTGTATTAATTTTTGTTGCAGGTGAAGAGCATGGTTTCCATGCAAAAGGAATATAGGCATTTTAAAGCTATATCTGCTGTTTATCCGTACAGCATTTTGATGTTGTAGGCAAACATATGTTCATTAATTGAATTGCCTCTGATATGTGTTTGGAATGATGTATTTTATTCTAGTACTCTTAAAATCTTTAATACCTCTGGGTGATGGTAAAATAGGCTTGAGGATGGACTACTTGGTGTTTAGATATAGGTATCAGTAAATGCCAATAAAATAGCACATGTATTTGTAACCAGTGGAAGAGAAGGGTGAAAAAATGACAACTACCTGTCTTTGACAGCTACTTTCCATCTGTACTTGAGCCAAATGATTGGTGCCACTTAAAATCAGTATGTGTTGCCATTAGGATAGCCTTGAAAAGCAGGTGACTTCCCAATGCATTGAAAAGGATTGTGTTGAAAATGATTCTGAACTTCTTGATGCTGTGTGATGAAAATTACTAGTTTTATGTACAGCATCAACATTGCAGTTTTTTTGGTGTTGATTTTCAGTGTAAAGTGCATATGAGCATGATTACTGTGACAGAGCTGGCACTAAAAAATACTGGAGAGGTTTCAAGAACTGTCTTGATTGCCCTTGGCTACCTGATAAGTTTCACAAGGCATTGATAGCACATGGTAAAATGTTGATCACATTAAACAGGGAAAGTTACAGTGCTTTACAGGTAAATTTTGCAGTATTTTTGCAGGTGTAATCACAAAAACAAGTTGTGGCATGCTCGTTCATTGAGTGATGGTTCCCATCCTTCTGAGTGAGCAATCAGTTGGTTTAAATTTGTGTTTTCAGAACATAAGTCTCCAGAAGGCCTTGAGAAGAGTTGGTAGGGTAGTTATGCTGACAAAGAAATCTGCTTAGCCAAGTAATTTTTTTACATTATTTGCTGGAATCTGCATGGTGATCAAAAACAAGCTATGGGCAAAGCAGGAGGACGGATGGATTACAAATGAGTATCATATGAGTTTGCCTTAGGGTCTTGAGTATGCAAGGATAAATGGTTCCTTTCTACAGGATAGAATAAAGCATTGTTATGAATTAAAATTGCTGTTCCTTGCATCTTTCAACAGTACTTTAACAAGAATGGGAAACATTCGAGGATGAGATATATTTGGTTTGGTACTAGGCTTTTTGTTAAATATGTAAATATAAATTAATCTTGTAGTCTTTGCAAATGTCAAAATTTAACTTCACCTTCAACTACATAGAAGCATTGCCTTCAAAGAGATTTACTTAAAAATCAGTTGATGATTCATAATTTAATACTTCCCTTGGTTTTATTGTCATCAACTTTGCAAGAGTTATTTTTGGCAATATTACCGTGCTGTCATAGGTTTCCAGCCTTCACGCCTTGAAAGCATATTGGTGCCTTAAAACCATATTAATGCTAGATCTGACTTTCTTAACTTCAGCTCTGTATGTATGTAGTCTGGTAGCTCAGCAAGTATAGGAACACGGAATACATGAAATTTTCTGGAAGTGTGGCAGGGTTCCTCCTAAGCCCTGTGAAATAGAGCTATTCTTTCTGCTTCAATTTCTTAATCTGAGATACTGCTATGTATCTTTGTGAGCTTAAAAAATTAGTGTGTGCTCATGTATTTAAGTGTCTCTAATAACCAAGGCAGTTGAGGCTAAAGGGCCAGGCTTACTGGACTCTGAAGATAAGTGGAGTTATCCCACAGTTGATTTTAATGCAATGCTAGTGAGGTTATTTGAGCTGAAAAAAATAGTGAATTAGTACTGAGAACTTACTGGCATCTTCTTTGAGCTATTAAAAGTCAAATGTATTTAACTTGTATCCACTTTTAGATGTCTTGAAGGATAAAGAACCACTTTGGCTACACATTTCAAATAAAGAGTGTGCTAAAGGCTGGCACATATGTCTTTAGCCCTTAGTTTGGTGAAAGTTACACAGTGACCCTTTCACAAGCAGTTTGTCTCTTGCACTGATGCTACTGGGAGAATGTCCATGAGTAGTTCTAGCTGTAAACAGCATTGATTTCTACTTTGATATATCTAGTTGGTACTCATGCCATCTTACTGCTTCTCATTGGGAGCAAACGGTTTTATAGTCAGCTGCAAGAAAAAGCTAACAGATTCAATGCAAGACGGGTCCTTTTTTTATTTTCTCTCTTTTCTTAGAAAACATGAAAAGTCTGCTTAATTGCTTTCTTCCCTCTTCCTACTCCTCTGAGTTTTTCAGAAAATAGTAGTGGTAATATTCTTGCAGGTTTCTGTGCAACTTTTATTTCCCATTCTATCTTTTCCCTTACGATTTGGAAAAGTGGCATTTCCCTACTCTGGCAACACCTGATTTTCCTCCTCAAAGGCATTATATGGATATAGTGAATAGCTTCTAGTGATGTGTGAAATTTCCCATATGGAGATGATCAAAAGACATTAACTACAAAATAGTGTATGATGTGATATGAAAGTGCCATAGTTACTGGTACTCCATTGCATGCACAGGGAACCATTAGCAATCTGACTAATAATTGATAGCTTTTAGATGATTATAGCTAATGGTGGTTGTTATAAATTATGCATGGACCTCAAAGTAAAAAATACTCTAAGGCCAGAAATTGTTTCAGATATATATCCTACTTAGAGTAAGGGAGAAAAGACGACTGGTTAGTTAGGAAAAAATTGAAGTTTTGCAGAAAGCAGTAGAAAATAGTTGATGACTGATATGGAATGAGAAGTACTGCAAAGTGACTTAAAAATGGAAAAAAAACCACAATAAAACCCAACCCTGAAGTCTTAAGTGATGACGCATGCAGCCAACTTCCTAAGAAACAAGAAATGCCCACTGTAACCCACTACATTGGGCTGAAATGATGTTTGTTCAAGAAAAATCTCACACATAACGCAGAAGATTGTTTAGTGCTAAGAAGTAAATGTAGCTGAAGTAACATTTTGCAAGTGTTATGTTTGCAGGCTGCTTTCCAGGCAGACAGATGTGGTGTTTGACCACACTTCTGTGAAGCATTTTTTCCCTGTGTTGAACTGGAGTGGCACTTGCTGCAAATTGTGACTCTGTTGTGCCCATTCTCCCAGTGGGCATCTCTGAAGAGTTGTGTGCTGCTTTCCTTGCAGCTCCAGTCAGGCACGTGGAGCCAGCAGTTAGAGCAGCACTGCCAGTGAGGGGTCACCTGCTGCCACCAGGGCTGTAGCCACCATGCTTTGAGGCTGGTAGTCTGCTGTGTTATTCATTGGGTTGCCTATCTTCTTTCCTTAATCTTCTTTTTTGCTGTCATTGTAGCCTTCAGAAGTCCCTGTGTCCCCCACTACCAATTTCTAATACAGCTTTGGTTTTCTTGATGTCATCCTAGTGTATCTGAGCAATTGTCTCTGAGTAGCCCAAGTTCACATACACTTTATTTTGAGCTTATATCAATTACTCAGGAAGTGCCTGTGAAAGGTTGAGTTTGCTTAGACTGTTGGTTATTGTATACTGAAAATGTGAGCTGGTCTACACTAGAGGCTGAGAAAAACTTTAGCCTTTTTTACAGGGACAGCAAATTTTAATAAATATTTGCAACAGTGGAGTTAGCTATCTTTCAGGTACACAAGAAGAGGGGAAGAGGCTTTTCTAAAACTCAGTATTAAAATTTCAGTGAAAAGCATTATTGTAGTCTGTCTGTGTTCCCAAGATGTTATGATATATTTTCTTCCCTGATGACATTGTATGGAGAAAAATATTCATGGTTGAAATACATTTAAGAGCTTTAGAAAAGCGTAATTTGATAAATTTTATCAGTAATACAAACAAAAGGCCAGATGATGAGCATTTGGGAGTTACTTGCTTAGTACCAGTCCTAATTGAATTGGTTTTGGCATTGACAAGGAACTGGTCTTATTCCAGCATATGTGAAAATCTATGAAAGAAAATGACAGCTATTGTCTAGAAGTTTAACTATCTTTTCATGCTTTCCTAGTAAATTCAAGCATTCAGAAAGCTTTATTAACTGTTTTGAGCAGAGGATGTGCTATACATGATTAAGACAAGCAAGAGAGACGTGTTGTGCCTGGGTGTGTGACTAATAAACACTGCAGGGCAGAGCAGTACTTCCCACAGTCAGTTGCTCAGCAAAAGGTTCAGATTAAAGCATTTTTTGAGACTTCTTGTGTGTACACTTGAGGGAAGAACTCTGTGCTTTGTAGCTCTTCTTCCCTTTGATTTTTTGCATTGACTTGGTAATCTGTAGTCTCCTCATTGCTTTCATTGGCTATAATTTACTGCAACAATTCTTCATACCTGCTTTATTAAGTAGGTGTGTAGGAGTGTATAGGTGGTTCATGAGTCATATATTCTTAAGCAAGATAGGAAAGAAGGGTGGCAAAAAGTGAGTTTGTTTTTATAATGTTGACAGTTATTAATTTTGCTCTTCAGGAATACTGAGTAATTAACACTTGCTTAACACACTGATTAATATAATGAAGCAGGACTTCAAGTGCACTAGAAGCTGAAATAGAGGTGTTGGACAGCAGCATAAGTATAATGAAGGGCAGTGCTAAATGCTAGAATGTTGGATGCTGCAGTACCGGTACATTGGGATACTGTGCCATTACAAGAGTAGATTTTTGTATTGCAATCAGTTCTGGAAGTGGCAGGATACATATTAATGCTTGCACATTGCACATTGCATGAGTTGTGCAAGA